CTCACCTGGCAACACTTTCACCTGGTCACACACTCACACACTCACCTGTCACACACTCACCTGGTCACACACTCACCTGGTCACACACTCACCTGGTCACACACTCACCTGGTCACACACTCACCTGGTCACACACTCACCTGGTCACACACTCACCTGGTCACAAACTCACCTGGTCACACACTCACCTGGTCACACACTCACCTGGTCACACACTCACCTGGTCACACACTCACCTGGTCACACACTCACCTGGTCACACACTCACACACTCACCTGGTCACACACTCACCTGGCCACACACTCACCTGGTCACACACTCACACACTCACCTGTCACACACTCACCTGGTCACACACTCACCTGGTCACACACTCACCTGGCCACACACTCACCTGGTCACACACTCACACACTCACCTGGTCACACACTCACCTGGTCACACACTCACCTGGTCACACACTCACCTGGTCACACACTCACAAACTTACCTGGTCACACACTCACCTGGCCACACACTCACACACTCACCTGGTCACTCACTCACCTGGTCACACACTCACCTGGTCATACATTCACCTGGTCACACACTCACCTAGCCACACACTCACCTGGTCACACACTCACCTGGTCACACACTCACCTTGTCACACACTCACCTGGCCACACACTCACACACTCACCTGGTCACACACTCACCTGGCCACACACTCACCTGGTCACACACTCACCTGGTCACACACTCACCTGGCCACACACTCACAAACTTACCTGGTCACACACTCACCTGGCCACACACTCACACACTCACCTGGCCACACACTCACCTGGTCACACACTCACCTGGTCACACACTCACCTGGTCACACACTCACAAACTTACCTGGTCACACACTCACCTGGCCACACACTCACACACTCACCTGGCCACACACTCACCTGGTCACACACTCACCTGGTCACACACTCACCTGGTCACACACTCACCTGGCCACACACTCACACACTCACCTGGTCACACACTCACCTGGCCACACACTCACCTGGTCACACACTCACCTGGCCACACACTCACCTGGTCACACACTCATCTGGTCAAACACTCACCTGGTCATACACTCACACATTCACCTGGTCACACACTCACCTGGTCACACACTCACCTGGTCACACACTCACCTGGTCACACACTCACCTGGTCACACATTCACCTGGTCACACACTCACCTGGTCACACACTCACCTGGTCACACACTCACCTGGCCACACACTCACACACTCACCTGGTCACACACTCACCTGGTCACACACTCACCTGGTCACACACTCACACACTCACCTGGTCACACACTTACCTGGTCACACACTCACCTGGTCACACACTCACCTGGTCACACACTCACACACTCACACACTTACCTGGTCACACACTCATCTGGTCACACACGCACCTGGTCACACACTCACCTGGTCACACACTCACACACTCACCTGGTCACACACTCACCTGGTCACACACTCACCTGGTCACACACTCACCTGGTCACACACTCACCTGGTCACACACTCACCTGGTCACACACTCACACACTCACCTGGTCACACACTTACCTGGTCACACACTCACCTGGTCACACACTCACCTAGTCACACACTCACACACTCACACACTCACCTGGTCACACACTCACCTGGTCACACACTCACCTGGTCACACACTCACCTGGTCACACACTCACACACTCACCTGGCCACACACTCACCTGGTCACACATTCACCTGGTCACACACTCACCTGGTCACACACTCACACACTCACCTGGTCACACACTCACCTGGTCACACACACACACACACTCACCTGGTCACACACTCACCTGGTCACACACTCACCTGGTCACACACTCACCTGGTCACACACTCACACACTCACCTGGTCACACACTCACCTGGCCACACACTCACCTGGTCACACACTCACCTGGTCACACACTCACCTGGTCACACACTCACCTGGTCACACACTCACACACTCACCTGGTCACACACTCACCTGGCCACACACTCACCTGGTCACACACTCACCTGGTCACACACTCACTTGGTCACACACTCACACAGTTACCTGGTCACACACTCACCTGGTTACACACTCACCTGGTCACACACTCACCTGGTCACACACTCACCTGGTCACACACTCACACACTCACCTGGTCACACACTCACATGGTTACACACTCACCTGGTCACACACTCACCTGGTCACACACTCACCTGGTCACACACTCACACACTCACCTGGTCACACACTCACCTGGTCACACACTCACCTGGTCACACACTCACCTGGTCAAACACTCACCTGGTCACACACTCACCTGGTCACACACTCACCTGGTCAAACACTCACCTGGTCACACACTCACCTGGTCACACACTCACCTGGTCACACACTCACACACTCACCTGGTCATACACTCACCTGGTCACATACTCACACACTCACCTGGTCACACACTCACCTGGTCACACACTCACCTGGTCACACACTCACCTGGTCAAACACTCACCTGGTCACACACTCACCTGGTCACACACTCACCTGGTCACACACTCACACACTCACCTGGTCATACACTCACCTGGTCACACACTCACACACTCACCTGGTCACACACTCACCTGGTCACACAAACACTTGGCCACACACTCACACACTCACCTGGTCACACACTCACACACTCACCTGTCACACACTCACACACTCACCTGTCACACACTCACCTGTCACACACTCACACACTCACCTGTTCATACACTCACCTGGTCACACACTCACCTGGTCAGACACTCACCTGGTCACACACTCACCTGGTCACACACTCACCTGGTCACACACTCACACACTCACCTGGTCACACACTCACCTGGTCACACACTCACCTGGTCACACACTCACACACTCACCTGGTCACACACTCACCTGGTCACACACTCACCTGGTCACACACTCACCTGGTCACACACTCACCTGGTCACACACTCACCTGGTCACACACTCACACACTCATCTGGTCACACACTCACCTGGTCACACACTCACCTGGTCACACACTCACCTGGTCACACACTCACCTGGTCACACACTCACCTGGCCACACACTCACCTGGTCACACACTCACCTGGTCACACACTCACCTGGTCACACACTCACACACTCACCTGGTCACACACTCACACACTCACCTGGTCACACACTCACCTTGTCACACACTCACCTGGCCACACACTCACCTGGTCACACACTCACCTGGTCACACACTCACCTGGTCACACACTCACCTGGTCACACACTCACCTGGTCACACACTCACCTGGTCACACACTCACACACTCACCTGGTCACACACTCACCTGGTCACACACTCACCTGGTCACACACTCACCTGGCCACACACTCACCTGGTCACACACTCACCTGGTCACACACTCACACACTCACCTGGTCACACACTCACACACTCACCTGGTCACACACTCACCTGGTCACACACTCACCTGGTCACACACTCACCTGGTCACACACTCACCTGGTCACACACTCACCTGGTCACACACTCACCTGGTCACACATTCACCTGGTCACACACTCACACACTCACCTGGTCACACACTTACCTGGTCACACACTCACCTGGTCACACACTCACCTGGTCACACACTCACCTGGCCACACACTCACCTGGTCACACACTCACCTGGTCACACACTCACCTGGTCACACACTCACCTGGTCACACACTCACCTGGTCACACACTCACCTGGTCACACACTCACCTGGCCACACACTCACCTGGTCACACACTCACCTGGTCACACACTCACACACTCACCTGGTCACACACTCACACACTCACCTGGTCACACACTCACCTGGTCACACACTCACCTGGTCACACACTCACCTGGTCACACACTCACCTGGTCACACACTCACCTGGTCACACACACACACACTCACCTGGTCACACACTCACCTGGTCACACACTCACCTGGTCACACACTCACCTGGTCACACACTCACCTGGTCACACACTCACCTGGCCACACACTCACCTGGTCACACACTCACCTGGTCACACACTCACACACTCACCTGGTCACACACTCACCTGGTCACACACTCACCTGGTCACACACTCACCTGGCCACACACTCACCTGGTCACATACTCACCTGGTCACACACTCACACACTCACCTGGTCACACACTCACACACTCACCTGGTCACACACTCACCTGGTCACACACTCACCTGGTCACACACTCACCTGGTCACACACTCACCTGGTCACACACTCACCTGGTCACACACTCACCTGGTCACACATTCACCTGGTCACACACTCACACACTCACCTGGTCACACACTTACCTGGTCACACACTCACCTGGTCACACACTCACCTGGTCACACACTCACCTGGCCACACACTCACCTGGTCACACACTCACCTGGTCACACACTCACCTGGTCACACACTCACCTGGTCACACACTCACCTGGCCACACACTCACCTGGTCACACACTCACCTGGCCACACACTCACCTGGTCACACACTCACCTGGTCACACACACACACACTCACCTGGTCACACACTCACACACTCACCTGGTCACACACTCACCTGGTCACACACTCACCTGGTCACACACTCACCTGGTCACACACTCACCTGGTCACACACTCACCTGGTCACACACACACACACTCACCTGGTCACACACTCACCTGGTCACACACTCACCTGGTCACACACTCACCTGGTCACACACTCACCTGGTCACACACTCACCTGGCCACACACTCACCTGGTCACACACTCACCTGGTCACACACTCACACACTCACCTGGTCACACACTCACCTGGTCACACACTCACACACTCACCTGGTCACACACTCACCTGGTCACACACTCACACTCACCTGGTCACCCACAAAGTAACCAGTGCCAGACTCACGAAGAAGCTTCTGAAAATGCTTTAAGTATTCTGGGACGATGGCGTTTAGAAAGTTGTTCCTCAGCTCGTTCTAATCAAAAGGGACGTAACACATTGGTAGAGAGATATTTAGATTGTAAGGGACGTAACACATTGGTAGAGAGATTTTTAGATTGTAAGGGACGTAACACATTGGTAGAGAGATATTTAGATTGTAAGGGACGTAACACATTGGTAGAGAGATTTTTAGATTGTAAGGGACGTAACACATTGGTAGAGAGATATTTAGATTGTAAGGGACGTAACACATTGGTAGAGAGATATTTAGATTGTAAGGGACGTAACACATTGGTAGAGAGATATTTAGATTGTAAGGGACGTAACACATTGGTAGAGAGATATTTAGATTGTAAGGGACGTAACACATTGGTAGAGAGATATTTAGATTGTAAGGGACGTAACACATTGGTAGAGAGATATTTAGATTGTAAGGGACGTAACACATTGGTAGAGAGATTTTTAGATTGTAAGGGACGTAACACATTGGTAGAGAGATTTTTAGATTGTAAGGGACGTAACACATTGGTAGAGAGATATTTAGATTGTAAGGGACGTAACACATTGGTAGAGAGATATTTAGATTGTAAGGGACGTAACACATTGGTAGAGAGATATTTAGATTGTAAGGGACGTAACACATTGGTAGAGAGATATTTAGATTGTAAGGGACGTAACACATTGGTAGAGAGATATTTAGATTGTAAGGGACGTAACACATTGGTAGAGAGATATTTAGATTGTAAGGGACGTAACACATTGGTAGAGAGATATTTAGATTGTAAGGGACGTAACACATTGGTAGAGAGATATTTAGATTGTAAGGGACGTAACACATTGGTAGAGAGATTTTTAGATTGTAAGGGACGTAACACATTGGTAGAGAGATATTTAGATTGTAAGGGACGTCACACATTGGTAGAGAGATATTTAGATTGTAAGGGACGTAACACATTGGTAGAGAGATATTTAGATTGTAAGGGACGTAACACATTGGTAGAGAGATATTTAGATTGTAAGGGACGTAACACATTGGTAGAGAGATATTTAGATTGTAAGGGACGTAACACATTGGTAGAGAGATATTTAGATTGTAAGGGACGTAACACATTGGTAGAGAGATATTTAGATTGTAAGGGACGTAACACATTGGTAGAGAGATATTTAGATTGTAAGGGACGTAACACATTGGTAGAGAGATATTTAGATCGTAAGGGACGTAACACATTGGTAGAGAGATATTTAGATTGTAAGGGACGTAACACATTGGTAGAGAGATATTTAGATTGTAAGGGACGTAACACATTGGTAGAGAGATATTTAGATTGTAAGGGACGTAACACATTGGTAGAGAGATATTTAGATTGTAAGGGACGTAACACATTGGTAGAGAGATATTTAGATCGTAAGGGACGTAACACATTGGTAGAGAGATATTTAGATTGTAAGGGACGTAACACATTGGTAGAGAGATATTTAGATTGTAAGGGACGTAACACATTGCAGAGTTTCTTCCAGGCATCTCTTCGGGGGGGCGAAGCCCCCCCGAAAAATTTTTACCGCCCCCCCGAACGAAATGAACTTTATATAATTTATATAGAAAATATATACTTTTAACAGTGTCCGCCCCCCCGAAGAAAGTTTACCGCCCCCCCCGAAGATTTCAAGTGCCCCCCCGGAGAAAAAAGTCTGGAAGAAACACTGACACATTGGTAGAGAGATTTTTAGATTGTAAGGGACGTAACACATCTGTAGAGAGATATTTAGATGGTAAGGGACGTAACACATTGGTAGAGAGATATTTAGATTGTAATGGACGTAACACATTGGCAGAGAGATTTTTAGAAGTATTTTTGATTGTGACAAGAACGCTCTAGAGAACATAAGGTTTTTAACTTAATCATTAGAAAAAATAATCATTGTGGGCATTTTATATGGTGTTGCGTTAATTAATAATAACGAGATAAATGGCCCGTTGATAGTTTTGCCTATTTTTCTCAAAGGGCCATTTATCTCATAATGTATAGAATTTGGTTTTTCCAATAGGCATGGTAGCTCAGTGGCGTATCCAGGATCGTCTCAAGGGGGGGGTGTCCAATTTTTACCCGGGGACAAACTTTCGATTCGCACCCCCCCCCCCTCAAACTTTCGATTTGCACCCCCCCTCAAACTTTTGATTTGCACCCCCCCTCATACTTTTTATATATACCGAGGGGTCTATGGGGGGGGTTATGACCCCCCCTAACCCCCCCCCCCTGACCACGCCACTGTGGTAGCTACATTTTATTAAATGTGTCGGATTTTTAGCAATTTAGTTATTTCTTTATGTGTAGAAAAGCACATTGCGTTTTGACCAATAACTATTTTATAAAATATTTTTCTCAAACAAGTATAACATTCAAATATATAGGCCTAAACTATAGTTCATGTGTAACGGGTACTGATGGTTACTTTCTAAAGAAACATTTACAGACTTTAAAGGGGCTTAACACATTCGTAGAGATTTGTCTCTTGTGACCTCTCTCACCTGTCTGACCTCTCTCACCTGTCTGTAGTGACCTCTCTCACCTGTCTGACCTCTCTCACCTGTCTGACCTCTCTCACCTGTCTGTAGTGACCTCTCTCACCTGTCTGACCTCTCTCACCTGTCTGGCCTCTCTCACCTGTCTGACCTCTCTCACCTGTCTGACCTCTCTCACCTGTCTGTAGTGACCTCTCTCACCTGTCTGACCTCTCTCACCTGTCTGTAGTGACCTCTCTCACCTGTCTGACCTCTCTCACCTGTCTGTAGTGACCTCTCTCACCTGTCTGACCTCTCTCACCTGTCTGTAGTGACCTCTCTCACCTGTCTGACCTCTCTCACCTGTCTGACCTCTCTCACCTGTCTGTAGTGACCTCTCTCACCTGTCTGACCTCTCTCACCTGTCTGACCTCTCTCACCTGTCTGACCTCTCTCACCTGTCTGTAGTGACCTCTCTCACCTGTCTGACCTCTCTCACCTGTCTGTAGTGACCTCTCTCAACTGTCTGACCTCTCTCACCTGTCTGTAGTGACCTCTCTCACCTGTCTGTAGTGACCTCTCTCACCTGTCTGACCTCTCTCACCTGTCTGTAGTGACCTCTCTCACCTGTCTGACCTCTCTCACCTGTCTGACCTCTCTCACCTGTCTTTAGTGACCTCTCTCACCTGTCTGACCTCTCTCACCTGTCTGACCTCTCTCACCTGTCTGACCTCTCTCACCTGTCTGACCTCTCTCACCTGTCTGACCTCTCTCACCTGTCTGTAGTGACCTCTCTCACCTGTCTGACCTCTCTCACCTGTCTGTAGTGACCTCTCTCAACTGTCTGACCTCTCTCACCTGTCTGTAGTGACCTCTCTCAACTGTCTGACCTCTCTCACCTGTCTGACCTCTCTCACCTGTCTGTAGTGACCTCTCTCACCTGTCTGTAGTGACCTCTCTCACCTGTCTGTAGTGACCTCTCTCACCTGTCTGTAGTGACCTCTCTCAACTGTCTGACCTCTCTCACCTGTCTGTAGTGACCTCTCTCAACTGTCTGACCTCTCTCACCTGTCTGACCTCTCTCACCTGTCTGTAGTGACCTCTCTCACCTGTCTGTAGTGACCTCTCTCACCTGTCTGTAGTGACCTCTCTCACCTGTCTGACCTCTCTCACCTGTCTGACCTCTCTCACCTGTCTGTAGTGACCTCTCTCACCTGTCTGTAGTGACCTCTCTCACCTGTCTGACCTCTCTCATCTGTCTGTAGTGACCTCTCTCACCTGTCTGACCTCTCTCACCTGTCTGACCTCTCTCACCTGTCTGACCTCTCTCACCTGTCTGTAGTGACCTCTCTCACCTGTCTGACCTCTCTCACCTGTCTGACCTCTCTCACCTGTCTGACCTCTCTCACCTGTCTGACGTCTCTCACCTGTCTGACCTCTCTCACCTGTCTGTAGTGACCTCTCTCACCTGTCTGACCTCTCTCACCTGTCTGTAGTGACCTCTCTCAACTGTCTGACCTCTCTCACCTGTCTGTAGTGACCTCTCTCAACTGTCTGACCTCTCTCACCTGTCTGACCTCTCTCACCTGTCTGTAGTGACCTCTCTCACCTGTCTGTAGTGACCTCTCTCACCTGTCTGTAGTGACCTCTCTCACCTGTCTGTAGTGACCTCTCTCAACTGTCTGACCTCTCTCACCTGTCTGTAGTGACCTCTCTCAACTGTCTGACCTCTCTCACCTGTCTGACCTCTCTCACCTGTCTGTAGTGACCTCTCTCACCTGTCTGTAGTGACCTCTCTCACCTGTCTGTAGTGACCTCTCTCACCTGTCTGTAGTGACCTCTCTCACCTGTCTGTAGTGACCTCTCTCACCTGTCTGACCTCTCTCACCTGTCTGACCTCTCTCACCTGTCTGTAATGACCGCTCTCACCTGTCTGACCTCTCTCACCTGTCTGACCTCTCTCACCTGTCTGTAGTGACCTCTCTCACCTGTCTGACCTCTCTCACCTATCTGACCTCTCTCACCTGTCTGACCTCTCTCACCTGTATGTAGTGACATCTCTCACATGTCTGTAGTGACCTCTCTCACCTGTCTGACCTCTCTCACCTGTCTGACCTCTCTCACCTGTCTGTAGTGACCTCTCTCACCTGTCTGACCTCTCTCACCTGTCTGACCTCTCTCACATGTCTGTAGTGACCTCTCTCACCTGTCTGACCTCTCTCACCTGTCTGACCTCTCTCACCTGTCTGACCTCTCTCACCTGTCTGTAGTGACCTCTCTCACCTGTCTGACCTCTCTCACCTGTCTGACCTCTCTCACCTGTCTGACCTCTCTCACCTGTCTGACCTCTCTCACCTGTATGACCTCTCTCACCTGTCTGATCTCTCTCACCTGTCTGTAGTGACCTCTCTCACCTGTCTGACCTCTCTCACCTGTCAGATCTCTCTCACCTGTCAGATCTCTCTCACCTGTCTGATCTCTCTCACCTGTCTGATCTCTCTCACCTGTCTGTAGTGACCTCTCTCGTTTGTCTGATCTCTCTCACCTGTCTGTAGTGACCTCTCTCACCTGTCTGACCTCTCTCACCTGTCTGATCTCTCTCACCTGCCTGTAGTTACCTCACCTTTCTCCCAGGATCCAACTCGTGGAAGACAAGCAGTGCCTTGTTAACGAGGTCCTGTGTGAGGCAGACCACTTGCTCGATGGCTAGAGATTCTAGATTGTTGTTGCCATGGTAACCTGCAGTAAGTCACCTTTTTCCAGTTCAATGCAAAAACATTATCAGCATGTTGCATCTACACTTAATGTTTTATAATCATGTTTCATCTATTCTTAATGTTTTATAATCATGTTTCATGTAGGCCTACTCTTCACGTTTTACAAAAATGTTTATAAAAATCTGTTCGATTTAATGTTTTTGTTATTTGTTAACTTTTGTTTTAAAGTTATAAATGTTCATTAACCCTTTTGTTGCTTATATATATCTAATATATAAAGTTGAAAATTCTGTATGTATGTAATTATGTTTGTCGTGGATTACAAAGGAATATAAGAAAATACGATACTTCCATGGATTCAAAAGTTAGATTATTAAAGCACTCATGGTCTAAATGCATGGTTTAAAAAATTATGACTGAAAATATTGGGAAATAATTTTCATTTTTCAAACTGATAGTAATAATTGTCGGCATGTTCACTAAACAAAACTTTTAAAAAATATCATCTTTTACAAAAATTCTAAGTATGTCTGAAAATTATTTATATTTAGTTCTTTAGCACTTACTTCCATTTGATAAATTAGGAAAACACAATTACTTCCCTTTATAAAAAAGAATTACATAATTAGCACGGATGAATCAAGTGCATTTGGTAGGTATTTTTAATTCTGCCTTTTATTTATTTCATACACTGAACGTACTGTTTACTAAAGATTTTTTTAATTACAGACATTTGACGTAAAAAAAAATACATCTTTATTCGGGAACGGGAATTCCCGTAGGTTATTATTTGTGGGTTTTTTTTGCGCATTCGTTTGTGTCTGTCTTTTTTGCGCACGAAGGGGAATGTGTTTTGGTCGGTCGCACCAGAAAGCTCTTATATAGAGACCTGCACCAAACTACAAGTCAGTAGATTTACAATTTTATCTAATACTATAATGGGCTACGTTCGCACATCTCTCTCTCTCTCTCTCTCTCTCTCTCTGTCCGCAAAAAATTTTCGCCGGACATCACGTCAGAAACGTTAGCGATATATGGAGAACTTTATACGGACTTTTGTTGAAAATAATATGTTAGATGTTTTAAATGTATAACCACAGTTTTATTTAAAGAAGAAAAATAAAAAATCAAGGCGTATTCGAATATAGAGAAACAGTATTATTTATGCAACCGGAAAAGCATTAATAGATGTGTAAAAGAACGCATAAAACTGTGACGACACTATTGCTTACTAATGACGTCATCTGCCGTGTTTAAAATAAAAAAGAAATGAACTATTTCATTCAAATTTGATTTAGATCTACGTACACTATGAAATGTATACAATACAATTTTTCCGGCCTAAACTCATAACATTTATTTATACAAAATCTTTGTTTGGAACTGGCTAATTTGGGATAAAAAAATTAATTTGAAAGAATAGGCATATTCGCGTAAGTTAAGATTTTAAAATACGTCTTTCATTCTCTGTATTTTATAAGGTGCCTAAATAGCGGAGATGTTAGTGTACTTTAAACCACGCAGGTGTTGCGGGTTCGAGACCCACCAAGTCAACTTGGGTAATGTATTTTTTATTTTATTTTGCTCGGACTAAACTTAAAAAAAAAAATTCAATTAGTATTCTAGATCTAGATCTAGATTGTCGGGTGTCCGATAAGGCACTTCCCGGCGCCGCAGGCGCTTCAAATTTGGCAGGATCTTGCCTTGGGGCGACAGAGCACGGGGGCCGGTTGGCCGAAAAGTCTACGATGAGGGGGTCAAAACTGACCTCGACTGACCGGTACCTTATATGAGCTATAAATCGAAAAAAAAAATGTCCACGGAGGAACCTCTTCATAACTCTTGAGGTCGTAGACCGACCCTATGACGAATTAATTAAGCATTCACATTCTCAATGTTTTCGAAAGCCTAAGCGAAGCTGGGCAGCATGCCTAGTATATTAGATTATTACTAGCCATCCCGGCCAGGCCCTGCACTGGCATCTCTGAAAAACGTATCTGTCAAGGACCATAACTTGTGTGTTTAGTAATCAGCATTTACCCGGCATTGCCCACCCTAACCACAACCAACCAAAACACACAAAAAAACGCAAACATAACACTAACATAAAACAAACACAAACGAAAACACAAAAACAAACGCAAAGACAAACCCAACCACAAACACAAAGAAAACACAAACACTAACGCAAACAAAAAAGCAAACGAAAACAAATCCAAATGCAAACACAAACCCAACCACAACCAAACGAAACCAAAACACACCAAAAAAACAACAACGCAAACATAACACAAATACAAACACAAACGAAAACACAAAAACAAACACAAACACAACCACAAACACAAAGGAAACACAAACGCAAAGAAAAAAGCAAACGAAAACACAAACGCAAAGAAAAAAAGCAAACGAAAACTAACCCAAACCCAAATCCAAACGCAAACACAACAACAAACGCAAACCCAAACACAAAGAAAACACAAACGCAAAGATAAACTCAAAGTGTCCACAGCTCTAGCCCGGGGCGCCAAATCGCACCATGACGACGTGCGGCGTAACCGCCTGATTCAACTTAGTAAACGACTATAGTACCCAACTTATTCATAGTCTTTTGAACTCACTTACGCGAACGTAGGTACAATAGCTAACACGGGAAGGCCCGGGGCGCCAAATAGCACCCTGTCGGGGTGTCTGAGGACGCCCAGATTTGATTAACTTAAAGGCTATAGTAACCTTTCTTATCCATAGTCTATCGCACTGTTTAAAACGAAATTATGCAGCATAGCGCTCACATGATAGCCAAGGGCGCCAAATCGAACCGTGCAGGGGCGCCGGGGGACGCGCCTGTTTCAATTAAGTGAACAAAATTATAAAACTCCAAGCTTATCCGTAAATGAAAAGAAATAAACATATAGGATTTGTAGGACCTGGCTTATTAAATGTTATTTATTTTAAAAAATAATTAGTAAACAGTATATTCAGTGTATAGAATAAATAAAAGACAGTATTAAAAATACCAACGACATTGCACTTAATCAATCTCCGCTAATTATGTAATTATTTTTTTTCCTGACACCAAAACAAAGTAATAAAAAGTAAATTCTTTCTTCCCCCGATTTAATGGGTTTTTTTAAAGAGGGAAGTAACTGTGTTTTCCAAATCAAGGGACGTAATGAGAGCTAAAGGACAAAATGCAAATACATTTCAGACACAATTTTAGAAATTTTATAAACGTTGATACACTTTTTAAAAAAAATTTATGCAATGTTTGTAATTGAAAATTATTATTCTAAGTATATAAAATGAAAATTGTTTTGAAAAACTTTCAATAGAAATTTTTTAACTCATAAATTTAGACCATGAGCACTTTTATAACCTAACACTTAAATCCATCAAGTATCTTTTTTTTTCGTTTTTTCTTTTATTCCTCTGTAAACCCCTGATTGCAAACATATAAACATACAGAATTGAACTTTATATATTAGATTTTTAGACATCTTTATTCGGGAACGGGAATCCCCGCAGGTTATTAGTTTTTTTTTTGCGTTTTTTTTTTTTTTTTTGTCTGCTTTTTTTTTTTGCGCACGAAGGGGAATTCATTTTTCCCACGTTTTCTTTAACTTGCTTTCTCTGTTTGTCTTTCCAATCAAATCTTGCGATCGAAATTTCTGGCACTTCCCAGTTAGCTAGCGCGCTGAAATTTTCAGGGAAGCTTTCTTTTGGATGACCATTGAATATTCAATTGTTATTTTTACTAAATTGATCAATGGAAACATTTTATTGAGCATTTTAGACCGCTATATAATCTATATATATATAATCCTCCTCTGCTAGCCATTAGAAAAAAAACCAGCGACGCGTACCTCGCGCGCAGTGAAGCGAACGATCACATGTCGCCACAGGCTTAGGGGCAGAGAATTTAGCTTGAACCGAGTTTAAACTTACAGAAGGTAGGCCAGTTTGGGGGAGACGATATGGTCGAGTGGTTGGGCACACGATTGCTATCCCACTCGATACGGGTTCAAATCTATGTGTTCTAGTCAGTAACGTATTCAAACAACGTGTTTTTTACGAGTTGTCTTTTTACGAGTTGTCTTTTTACGAGTTGTCTTTTTACGAGTTGTCTTCGTTTACCCAAAAAAAGTGAAAAGATAAAATCGATAGCAAGATTTTAATGCAAACAAACAGACAAAGACTAAAAAGTAGAAAATAATAATCATTAAAAAAGTTTTAAAAAACCCACGTTTTCTGATTGAACTAAAAAGTAGAAAATAAATGCTATAGGCCCTACATCACAATAATGCAAGCGATCACTCTACTATAAGCAAGCAAAAACGTGGGGCGCCGTGATTTTCTTACAGTTTCTAATACTGTTGACTCTCTACAAGCTCCCTAATAAAAGTCAATAGTATTATCTAATCAATAGTAATATAACTTTTACTTCGACGCCCCACGTTTTTGATCGCTTATAGTAGAGTGATCGCTTGCATTATTGTGATGTAGGGCCTATAGCATTTATTTTCTACTTTTTAGTTCAATCAGAAAACGTGGGTTTTTTAAAACTTTTTTAATGATTATTATTGTCGGTCTCACCAGAAAACTCTTTTATAGAGACCTTTACCAAACTACAAGAAGATATATGATTTCATATAATAATAGCCGTCCCGGTTTGTGTTGTGTTGTGTTTATGTTGTGTTTGTGTTGTGTTGGTGTTGTGTTGGTGTTGTGTTGGTGTTGTGTTGGCGTTGTGTTGGTGATGTGTTGGTATAGTGTTTGTGTAGTGTTTGTGTAGTGTTTGTGTAGTGTTTGTGTAGTGTTTGTGTAGTGTTTGTGTAGTGTTTGTGTAGTGTTTGTGTTGTGTTTGTGTCGTCTTTGTATTGTCTTTGTGTTGTCTTTGTGCTGTGTTGTGGTTGGGTTTACGTTCCGAATTGGTTTGTTTTTTTTTTTTTGCTTTTATTGGGGGGGGGGGGGGGGGACACTGTTAAAAGTATATATTTTCTATATAAATTATATAAATATCATTTCGTTCGGGGGAGGGGGGGGGGGGGCGTAAGAAAAATTTCGGGCATGCCCCCCCCCACCCCCCAGAGGCGTAGCGACCCTTCCCGGCGCCCGGGGACATACTTTCAATTTGGCGCCCCCTTGGGAGCAAATTTTCGATTTGCACCCCCCCCCCCTCGAACTTTTCATTTGCACCCCCCCCCCCTCAAACTTTCGATTTGCACCCCCCCCTCAAACTTTCGATTTGCACCCCCCCTCGAACTTTTCATTTGCACCCCCCCCCCCCCTCAAACTTTCGATTTGCACCCCCCCCTCGAACTTTTCATTTGCACCCCCCCCCCTCAAACTTTCAATTTGGCGCCCCCCCTAAGGTCGGCGCCCGGGGACATATGTCCCCCCCCGCCCCCCCCTCGCTACGCTACTGCCCCCCCCCCCCTAAGAGATGCCTGGAGGAAACTCTGCTAAGAATATATTATTAAACCCTCTTTAAAAAATATTATGTCATATTTTCTTCCAGCTCCGCGGCAACGCGCGGGAACGGGCACGCTAGTAGAAAATAATGCAACTAAATAGCGGCGTATGCCACGTCGCGGGAAAGCTCGTGTAAAAATATTGTGAATAAAACTAGTATAATGACTCGAACCTTACTCTCTGGCCAGGTACATGACTAGTGACAAAGTTTGTGTCCATTTTTGATCACGTAAAATCACCAACTCACAAGGTCACCCACGCACAAGGTCACCCACGCACAAGGTCACCCACTCACAAGGTCACCCACTCACAAGGTCACCCACTCACAAGGTCACCCACTCACCAAACTCTCGAGCCAGGTATGTGGCCAGTGCTAGATCACAAGGTCACCCACTAACAAGGTCACCCACTCACAAGGTCACCCACTCACAAGGTCACCCACTCACAAGGTCACCCACTCACCAAACTCTCGAGCCAGGTATGTGGTCAGTGCTAGATCACAAGGTCACCCACTCACAAGGTCACCCACTCACAAGGGCACCCACTCATAAGGTCACCCACTCACAAGGTCACCCACTCACAAGGTCACCCACTCACAAGGTCACCCACTCACCAAACTCTCGAGCCAGGTATGTGGCCAGTGCTAGATCACAAGGTCACCCACTCACAAGGTCTACCACTCACAAGGTCACCCACTCACCAAACTCTCGAGCCAGGTATGTGGCCAGTGCTAGATCACAAGGTCACCCACTCACAAGGTCACCCACTCACAAGGTCACCTACTCACCAAACTCTCGAGCCAGGTGTGTGGCCATTGCTAGATCACAAGGTCACCCACTCACAAGGTCACCCACTCACAAGGTCACCCACTCACAAGGTCACCCACTCACCAAACTCTCGAGCCAGGTATGTGGTCAGTGCTAGATCACAAGGTCACCCACTCACAAGGTCACCCACTCACAAGGGCACCCACTCATAAGGTCACCCACTCACAAGGTCACCCACTCACAAGGTCACCCACTCACCAAACTCTCGAGCCAGGTATGTGGCCAGTGCTAGATCACAAGGTCACCCACTCACAAGGTCTACCACTCACAAGGTCACCCACTCACCAAACTCTCGAGCCAGGTATGTGGCCAGTGCTAGATCACAAGGTCACCCACTCACAAGGTCACCCACTCACAAGGTCACCTATTCACCAAACTCTCGAGCCAGGTGTGTGGCCATTGCTAGATCACAAGGTCACCCACTCACAAGGTCACCCACTCACCAAACTCTCGAGCCAGGTATGTGGCCAGTGCTAGATCACAAGGTCACCCTCTCACAAGGTCACCAACTCACCAAACTCTCGAGCCAGGTATGTGGCCAGTGCTAGATCACAAGGTCACCCACTCACAAGGTCACCCACTCACAAGGTCACCCCCTCACCAAACTCTCGAGCCAGGTATGTGGCCAGTGCTAGATCACAAGGTCACCCACTCACAAGGTCACCCACTCACCAAACTCTCGAGCCAAGTATGTGGCCAGTGCTAGATCACAAGGTCACCCACTCACAAGGTCACCCACTCACCAAACTCTCGAGCCAGGTATGTGGCAAGTGCTAGATCACAAGGTCACCCACTCACAAGGTCACCCACTCACAAGGTCACCCACTCACCAAACTCTCGAGCCAGGTATGTGGCCAGTGCTAGATCACAAGGTCACCCACTCACAAGGTCACCCACTCACCAAACTCTCGAGCCAGGTATGTGGCCAGTGCTAGATCACAAGGTCACCCACTCACAAGGTCACCCACTCACAAGGTCACCCACTCACCAAACTCTCGAGCCAGGTATGTGGCCAGTGCTAGATCACAAGGTCACCCACTCACAAGGTCACCCACTCACCAAACTCTCGAGCCAGGTATGTTGCCAGTGCTAGATCACAAGGTCACCCACTCACAAGGTCACCCACTCACCAAACTCTCGAGCCAGGTATGTGGCCAGTGCTAGATCACAAGGTCACCAACTCACAAGGTCACCCACTCACAAGGTCACCCACTCACCAAACTCTCGAGCCAGGTATGTGGCCAGTGCTAGATCACAAGGTCACCCACTCACAAGGTCACCCACTCACAAGGTCACCCACTCACAAGGTCACACACTCACAAGGTCACCCACTCACAAGGTCACCAACTCACAAGGTCACCCACTCACAAGGTCACCCACTCACCAAACTCTCGAGCCAGGTATGTGGCCAGTGCTAGATCACAAGGTCACCAACTCACAAGGTCACCCACTCACAAGGTCACCCACTCACCAAACTCTCGAGCCAGGTATGTGGCCAGTGCTAGATCACAAGGTCACCCACTCACAAGGTCACCCACTCACAAGGTCACCCACTCACCAAACTCTCGAGCCAGGTATGTGGCAAGTGCTAGATCACAAGGTCACCCACTCACAAGGTCACCCACTCACAAGGTCACCCACTCACCAAACTCTCGAGCCAGGTATGTGGCCAGTGCTAGATCACAAGGTCACCCACTCACAAGGTCACCCACTCACAAGGTCACCCACTCACAAGTTCACCCACTTACAAGGTCACCCACTCACAAGGTCACCCACTCACAAGGTCACCCACTCACAAGGTCACCCACTCACAAGGTCACCCACTCACCAAACTCTCGAGCCAGGTATGTGGCCAGTGCTAGATCACAAGGTCACCCACTCACAAGGTCACCCACTCACCAAACTCTCGAGCCAGGTATGTGGCCAGTGCTAGATCACAAGGTCACCCACTCACAAGGTCACCCACTCACAAGGTCACCCACTCACCAAACTCTCGAGCCAGGTATGTGGCCAGTGCTAGATCACAAGGTCACCCACTCACAAGGTCTACCACTCACAAGGTCACCCACTCACAAGTTCACCCACTCACAAGGTCACCCACTCACCAAACTCTCGAGCCAGGTATGTGGCCAGTGCTAGATCACAAGGTCACCCACTCACAAGGTCACCCACTCACAAGGTCACCCACTCACCAAACTCTCGAGCCAGGTATGTGGCCAGTGCTAGACTTTGAGTGAAAATTTTTCCGTTGACCTCCAGGATCGGCAGTTGTCCAAAAGGTGTCGCTGTGAGGTAAGACAGGTGTCTAGTGTCATGACAGGTTTCAAGTGAAATGACAGTTATCAAATGACATGACAAATGTCAAGTGCCATGACCGGTGTCAAATGCCATGACATGTGTCAAATGACATGACCGGTGTCAAATGACATGACAAGTTTCAACTGTCATGACAAGTGTCAACTGACATGACAGGTGTCAAATGACATGACATGGAAAAATACATTGGTCAAGTAAACTTTACCTATTGGTCAAGTAAAATTGACCTGTTGGTCAAGTAAACTTTACCTGTTGGTCAAGTAAGCTTTTAAAAATTTCTAAAAATAGGATAGATATGTATTTCAAGAAAGTCCGGTGAGTTGTTATAGACAATCATACTTAAAATCATACAGTCAACTATACATGCAATCATACTTGCAATCATACTGGCAATCATACAGGCAATCATACAGGCAATCATGCAGGCAATCATACAGTCAAACACACAGGAATTCACACAGGCGATCATACAAAGAAATTATCAGTAATCATACAGATAGTCCTACAACTAAAGAATCATACAATCACAGAGAGTTTATCATACAGACACAATCATAAAATCCCAGTTACAATCATACAATCTAAGCTATAATCATACAATCTAAGTTACAATCATGCAATCCCAATTATAATCATACAATCCCAGTTACAATCATACAATCCCAATTACAATCATACAATCCAAATTACAATCATGCCATCTTAGTTACAATTATACAATCTAAGTTACAATCATGCAATCCCAATTATAATCATACAATCGCAGTTACAATCATAAAATCCCACATACAATCATACAATCCCAATTACAATAATACAATCCCATTTACAATCATACAATCCCAATTACAGTCATGCAATCTCAGTTAAAATCATACAATCTAAGTTACAATCATGCAATCCCAGTTAAAACCATACAATCCCAGTTACAATCATACAATCTAAGTTACAATCATACAATCCCAGTTACAATCAAACAATCCCATTTACAATCATTCAATCTATGTTACAATCATACAATCTAAGTTACAATCATGCAATCTAAGTTACAATCATACAATCTAAGTTACAATAATACAATCTAAGTTACAATCATACAATCTAAGTTACAATAATACAATCTAAGCTACAATCATACAATCTAAGTTACAATCAAACAATCCCATTTACAATCATACAATCTAAGTTACAATCATACAATCTAAGTTACAATCATGTAATCCCAGTTACAATCATACAATCTAAGTTTCAATCATACAATATAAGTTACAATCATACAATCCCAGTTACAATCATACAGTCTAAGTTACAATCATACAATATAAGTTACAATCATACAATCCTACTTGCTTTGAACGCCGGCCAATCCGTGTCCTGTATCCTGACGTCATCAAAGTCCTGCCCGGCCAGGACAAACAGAAGACGGCACAGCTCTGCCCTCCCCCGCCCGTTGAAGTAGATCAGTTTGTAGGAGGGCACTGGACGCACGGCGGGCGGGCAGGGTACTTGGGTGGAGGCATCTCTGGCAAGAGAAAAAGAGACGTCAATATTCTGTCCGTCCTGACGTCTATAAAGAGACGTCAATATTCTGTCCGTCCTGACGTCTATAAAGAGACGTCAATATTCTGTCCGTCCTGACGTCTATAAAGAGACGTCAATATTCTGTCCGTCCTGACGTCTATAAAGAGACGTCAATATTCTGTCCGTCCTGACGTCTATAAAGAGACGTCAATATTCTGTCCGTCCTGACGTCTATAAAGAGACGTCAATATTCTGTCTGTCCCGAAGTGTGTACATTTAATGCACTGCAAATCTACACAAACTGTGATGAGGGACGGGGACGGGGACTTTCGATATGACTGTATGGAAGAAATTCTGTTTACACCTCCTGAGTCGTTGTGCAATTTTGTCTGTTTATGAAATGTTTGTCCGTGTGTGTGTGTGTATTTGTTTGTGTCTGTGTGTATGTGTGTCTGTCTGTATGCCTGCCTGTCCGTCCGTCTGTTTGTCTGCTGTCTGTCGGAGCATGCTTTCAGTTTTGTTGAAACTATTGTAGGTCTTTTATTAGCGATTTACTTTACTTTCAGTTTCTCAAAACTCTATAACTTGATTACTGTTTAAGTACACGAATTTGTAAGTATGATAATATGATTGTATGCGCAAGTTCCTACCAACCTTAGTACGATTTCCGGTAACCGAAAATAGTACTTTACTTTATTTTCGTAGGAACCGGACACATTGAGTACTGTTTTGTTTAGTTTGACGAAGCTACATATATACGTATAAGATCTTATACTTTAAACTAGCCATCGGTAACCGTTACACGGACAATTCTGGTGACTTTTAGCTCTCATCTCATTACAATAGGCTACCCAGTTTTTCTTTTAGATATTTATCTCCGGGGAGCGGCATTTAAAACTGTCCGGAGAAGGGTGTGGGGGGTTGAGTGTGCGGGGGGGGGGGGGGGGGGTGGGGGGTACGTAGTGGATACTGGTTTTTCTATAATTTCGTATGAATTACTTTTTTAAATTTCATTCAGAGGTGAAAGGGGAAGAAACGGTAGAGATGCCTGAAGAAAATGTATATATCTACGGAAAGTGAGTAATGAAATGAACTGTAATTCAGCTTTTAAAAAAGTAATTATCGGAAACTTAGGAAAAGAAACATTTTATTGATCAAGGGCATTGGAATGAAACATTGTCAAGATTATGAAAAAGAAGGGTTTTGTTTTATGTACTGTCTATGTTTATACTTGTTTAAAAAAACATAGACTATCAATACCTATTAGAAAAATTAAAACCAAATTAAATACAGTATTTGTCAACACAATACCATATTAAAGGCACTCGCTGATTAAGACACTTAAAAGATTTCGTAAAAAAAAAACCCGGCTGTTCAATGGTAGTTATGTTGTTTTTGTCTATTAAAAACACCTATTTTGGCTGAGCATGGGTCTGACCACACTATCCCTTCATAGACAGAAACAGGTGAACTCTACTTCACCTGCCCCGTGTCCCGCTAAGTCCCTATAGGCAACTTTATCATCAACATATAAAAAATCCAATTGAAAAAAAATGTCTTGGTTTGTCTCGAACCCGTACCACCCCATGGTATCAATTACACTATCATCTCAGATGTTTAGGCACCTTATGATACATGAAGAATAAAAGACGTAGTTAAGAAACTAAAATTACACAAATAAGGCTATTCTTTCAAATTAAATCCAAAATTAGCCAATTCCATAGCTAAAGAAACAAAGAATTCTATAAAATAATTAAGGCCTGAAATAGTTTAATATAGACATTTATTATTGGAATAGATTCTAGAGTAGATAGAATCAAAATCTAGATCTAGTCTAGATCAATATTCTCTTGATCTAGAAACCAAATAGATAAAGTAAATTGTATAAGTTTAGGCCGAGAAAATTGTATTGTATACATTTCATAGCGTACGTAGATCTAGATCTAAATCAAATTTCTTTATAATTATTCTAAAATCGGATGACGCCATGAGTTTTGTGTTCTCTCTTTAGTGTAAACATATGAGACGTCATTGTTAATAACGTTCTTGTCACAACTATTAATACTTTCCGGTTGCATAATTAAAACTGTTTTTCTACATTCGAATATGCCTTTGTTTTTTATTTTTCTTCTTTCAATAAAATTGTGTTTATACATTTAAAACATCTACCATATTATTTTCAACAAAAGTCCATATTAAGATACTGATATGAGCCTGTGAAAATATTTTGTGGACAGATAGGGAGAGAGAGAGAGAGAATTGCGCACATGGCCTTTTATATATTAGGTATTTTACTGTATTTCTGGTGTCTAACAGACCGATACCTTCAGTACCGTGTCACTAAGGCGAACACAACTTCATAAATAAATAACAGCTTCTGTATGTAGGTTTCTGTCTTTTTTAAGGCGATTTCCACAAAACGGAATATTATTCCGATGACTCACAAACCTTCGGAATTTGACAGTGACAAGCTTTTGTTTCGCTTGATTCCTGGCGGAACTGGCGTCAAACATTTTGACCACTTTCGGCGCCTACAAGAAATATTTCAGGCCCCCTCCATCAAGGCCGTTCTCACCTAGACATACATTAAACTCTACTGGATTATAATTAGATCATTCATTAGATAATTAGCAGCACGTGACCACCTTACCTTTTCGACCAGAAGAAATATTTGAAAGGAAAATACTGAAAGATGGCGGCCATACTAGTTCATCGGTCGTCTGTCAACTGTCTCATGAGCTTGTCCCAATGTTGGCACGCACAGACACACACACACACAAACACACACACACACACACACACACACACACACACAGACGAGGCCACCAGCGGCTCACGCCTTTCATTAATTAAAAATGAAAAAAATGATTTCGTTATCGTCTCGCACAGGCACGCCTGATGACGAGATAGACTCGAACATTCGATCTTTCGGCAGATAGTCGTCTGCTTCAACACGGCTGTGCCACGTGACCCACTTGAGCCACTTCCGGTTGACATCTGGGCTGATCAGACCCGTGACGTCACAACAAGTCCCAACTTAACGCATCCTCTGTCAGCTAGCCTGAGATTTTACAACTATGACATGCACAATCTCCTGGTGACACAATATGTTGGTGTTAAATTTGGTGGTGACACAATATGTTGGTGTTAAATGTGGTGACACAATAGTATGATGTTAAATGTGGTGACACAATATGTTGGTGTTAAATGTGGTGACACAATAGTATGATGTTAAATGTGGTGACACAATAGTATGGTGTTAAATGTGGTGGTGACACAATATGTTGGTGTTAAATGTGGTGACACAATATGTTGGTGTTAAATGTGGTGACACAATAGTATGATGTTAAATGTGGTGACACAATATGTTGGTGTTAAATGTGGTGGTGACACAATATGTTGGTGTTAAATGTGTTGACACAATAGTATGGTGTTAAATGTGGTGACACAATATGTTGGTGTTAAATGTGGTGGTGACACAATAATATGGTGTTAAATGTGGTGACACAATGTGTTGGTGTCAAATGTGGTGGTGACACAATGTGTTGGTGTTAAATGTGGTGACACAATAGTATGGTGTTAAATGTGGTGACACAATATGTTGGTGTTAAATGTGGTGGTGACACAATAATATGGTGTTAAATGTGTTGACACAATAGTATGGTGTTAAATGTGGTGGTGACACAATATGTTGGTGTTAAATGTGGTGGTGACATTATGTTACATACGACAAACTTAACCCTGGATCACTTCTTGATGTGGCATGAAGTTCAAGAAAAGACAATTCTGTAAATCATATATTTTCATGTTATTGTTGAATCGCCTCCCTTGCAAGAAAAAATCAAACAAGCCAAACAAATTAGGAATTTTAATGTAAACAAAATAAAAACAGCAGACAATAAAGAAAAACTGGTAACACTTATGTGACGCCCATCTGTATAAAAATAAATATTTGCTCCATCAAAACCTGTTGCTAGCAGACTATTTTAACAAATATTTTGGGGGAAAAACAGGAATTTTCGGGGAAAACGTCCGGAGGCACATGACGTCACAACAAGCGGCCATTAAACACACGTAGGTAATGTTTACATAATACAAAAAGTTATTGCAGCCCCCCCCCTCCCCGCATACGACATCTTGATGAAAGTGGCAGATAGCTTTTGCTCATTTAGTAGCTAAATAAAAAAGTCATTGCGAAAAAAATGTAGGTGACAAAAACTGAAAAAGTGGAGACGGTGGTAAAACAGCTGATGACAATTTTTGGCCTAGGACGAAACAATTGAAAGAACTTATTCACATATATTGCGGTGGGGTTGGTTGTTGTTTTTTTTGGGCGGGGGGGGGGGGGGCGGAGGGGGGAGGCTCGAATATTCAAAACAATTCTTAAAGCCTTTTTAACACATGGTGGTGGGGTGGGGGATATGTGATCATTGACATGGATAAGGAAATATGTGCTCATGGGGTGGGGTAATTATATACATGGAACATTTCGATAGAGGCGCCAAATATTGAGGCAAGTAAAAAAATCTTTTAACGACCTCTGAACTCGACCTTTGAACTCGACCTTTGAACTCGACCTTTGAACTCGACCATTCAAGACAAAATGTTTGGTAAAGCCCAAAAGTGTTTGTACCTCCTTCTTTGGCCAAGACATATCACGTGACTTTATCCCAGGTATAACACCATTAGTGGCTAATTCATTTTCTCTTCTTACAAAAAAATTATAACCAATCAGAATACAGGATTAGAAAACAGGCGATATGAGAAAATGTGACATTTTAATGTCATTTTGTTGTTGGCCATTTTGTTTGATGTCATTTTGTTGTTGGCCGTTTTTGTTTGATGTCATTTTGTTGTTGGCCATTTTGTTTGATGTCATTTTGTAGTTGGCCGTTTTTGTTTGATGTCATTTTGTTGTTGGCCATTTTGTTTGATGTCATTTTGTTGTTGGCCATTTTGTTTGATGTCATTCTGTAGTTGGCCTTCCGTGTCAACAATGTTCATGTACGTTTCTCTATTGTTGTAGAATACTTCAGATAAACACATGTGTCATGTTTTGATGACATGTTTTGATGTCATGTTTTGATGACATGTTTGAACTAGCGAGTCGGTCATAAGGTCAAGCCAGTGACACGTGACAGTGCTGTCAGCAGTAGCACGTGCAGCAGGTAGGTCAGGCTGACCTGCAGACGACCAGCGAGGTTGCAGGCGTCACGTACACATGACATCAGACAGCCACTGTACCGAACGTTCTCGAACTCGAATGGGCCGCAGACGTTGTCAAATGACGTCAGGCTACAGGAGCGGACGATCAGCTCCTCGTTTGTGTTGACTGAAACACAAGAGGTCAAGGTCACACGGGCTCAAGGTCAATGGAGAGGTAGAAGTATCTCGATGATTAGCAACATCAACAACATCACCAACATCACCAACTTGACCCGCCCCATCAACATCACCAACCTGACCCACCCCACCAACCTCATTAGCATCAACAACATCACCAACATCACCAACCTGACCCACCCCACCAACCTCATTAGCATCAACAACATCACCAACATCACCAACCTGACCCACCCCACCAGCATCAGCAACATCACCCACCCCACCAACCTCACCCACCCCACCAACCTCACCCACCCCACCAACATCACCAACCTCACCCACCCCACCAACCTCACCCACCCCACCAACATCACCAACCTCACCCACCCCACCAACCTCACCCACCCCACCAACATCACCAACCTCACCCGCCCCACCAACCTCACCCACCCCTACAACATCACCAACCTCACCCACCCCACCAACCTCACCCACCCCACCAACATCACCAACCTGACCCACCCCACCAGCATCAGCAACATCACCCACCCCACCAGCCTCACCCACCCCACCAACATCACCAACCTGACCCACCCCACCAGCATCAGCAACATCACCCACCCCACCAACCTGACCCACCCAACCAACATCAACAACCTCACCCACCCCTACAACATCACCAACCTGACCCACCTCACCAACATCACCCACCCCACCAACATCACCCACCCCACCAACATCAACAACCTCACCCACCTGACCCACCCCACCAACCTGACCCACCCAACCAACATCAACAACCTCACCCACCCCTACAACATCACCAACCTGACCCACCCCACCAACATCACCCACCCCACCAACATCACCCACCCCACCAACATCAACAACCTCACCCACCTGACCCACCCCACCAACCTGACCCACCCAACCAACATCAACAACCTCACCCACCCCTACAACATCACCAACCTGACCCACCCCACCAACCTCATTAGCATCAACAACATCACCAACATCACCAACCTGACCCACCCCACCAACCTCATTAGCATCAACAACATCACCAACATCACCAACCTGACCCACCCCACCAGCCTCACCCACCCCACCAACATCACCAACCTGACCCACCCCACCAGCATCAGCAACATCACCCACCCCACCAACCTCACCCACCCCACCAACCTCACCCACCCCACCAACATCACCAACCTCACCCACCCCACCAACCTCACCCACCCCACCAACATCACCAACCTCACCCACCCCACCAACCTCACCCACCCCACCAACATCACCAACCTCACCCGCCCCACCAACCTCACCCACCCCTACAACATCACCAACCTCACCCACCCCACCAACCTCACCCACCCCACCAACATCACCAACCTGACCCACCCCACCAGCATCAGCAACATCACCCACCCCACCAGCCTCACCCACCCCACCAACATCACCAACCTGACCCACCCCACCAGCATCAGCAACATCACCCACCCCACCAACCTGACCCACCCAACCAACATCAACAACCTCACCCACCCCTACAACATCACCAACCTGACCCACCTCACCAACATCACCCACCCCACCAACATCACCCACCCCACCAACATCAACAACCTCACCCACCTGACCCACCCCACCAACCTGACCCACCCAACCAACATCAACAACCTCACCCACCCCACCAACATCACCAACCTGACCCACCCCACCAACATCAACAACCTCACCCACCCCTACAACATCACCAACCTGACCCACCTCACCAACATCACCCACCCCACCAACATCACCCACCCCACCAACATCACCCACCCCACCAACATCAACAACCTCACCCACCTGACCCACCCCACCAACCTGACCCACCCAACCAACATCAACAACCTCACCCACCCCACCAACATCACCAACCTGACCCACCCAACCAACATCAACAACCTCAACCACCCCACCAACATCACCAACCTGACCCACCCAACCAACATCAACAACCTCACCCACCCCACCAACATCACCAACCTCACCCACCTGACCCAGCCACCAACATGGAGGGGCTAGGGGCGTGGCTGAAGATGAGAAAGTACTCACGGTTAGTACCCTTGATCTTGACGCAGTATTTGGCTGGGAATAACCCGACACGGTTATCTAAGCCTTGCTCGCACCTGCAATGGCAGAGATAGGTCACGTGGGGCACAGTTTAACCCCCCCCCCCCCACAACCTTGAATTAAGACCCATCCATTGACCCCCCCACCCCTTCCCCCACAACCTTGAATTAAGACCCCCCCATCCCCTGACCCCCCTCCCCACACCTTGAATTAAGCCCCACCCCCTGACCCCCCACTCCCACAACCTTGAATTAAGACCCATCCCCCCCACACCTTGAATTAAGACCCACCCCCTGACCCCGCAACCTTGAATAAAGACCCCCCCCCCCCGCCCCCCCACAACCTTGAATTAAGACCCCACCCCCACCCCCCCACAACCTTGAATAAAGACCCCCCGCCGCCCCCCACAACCTTGAATTAAGACCCATCCCCTGACCCCCTCCCCCCACAACCTTGAATTAAGCCCCACCCCCTGACCCCACCCCCCTCCTCACAACCTTGAATTAAGACCCCCCCCCGCCCCCCACAACCTTGAATTAAGACCCATCCCCTGACCCCCTCCCCCCACAACCTTGAATTAAGCCCCACCCCCTGACCCCACCCCCCTCCCCACAACCTTGAATTAAGACCCCCCCCCCGCCCCCCACAACCTTGAATTAAGCCCCACCCCCTGACCCCACAACCTTGAATTAAGACCCCCCCCCGCCCCCCACAACCTTGAATTAAGCCCCACCCCCTGACCCCACCGCCCTCCCCACAACCTTGAATTAAGACCCATCCCCCTGACCCCCCCCCCCACAACCTTGAATTAAGACCCATCCCCCCTCCCCACACCTTGAATTAAGACCCATCCCCTGACCCCCCCCCCCCCACAACCTTGAATTAAGACCCATCCCCCCCCCCCCCCACACCTTGAATTAAGACCCACCCCCTGACCCCCCCCCCCCGCCCCCCACAACCTTGAATTAAGACCCCCTGACCCCACCCCCTGACCCCCCGCCCCCCACAACCTTGAATTAAGACCCACCCCTGACCCCACCCCCCCCCCCTCCCACAACCTTGAATTAAGGTCCACCCCCTGACTCCACCCCCCCCCCACCCCACAACCTTGAATTAAGACCCCCTGACCCCAGACTTACTTGACGTGGTACCTGTCCATGTTGTAGGCGGGGTGAAAGGGGTCGCCACAATGGACGTCACTTCCGTTACGTGAGTGACACTTGTAGCAACCGACACCGGTGGTGGACTTGGCGTTTTCTGTGGGGGGGGGACAAATGTGGTTAGTCTGTTATGAGGCATTTGGGGGTGGGATGTGGATGGTATTCATTAAAGGAGTGGAGGGGAGAAGTAGCAAAACAAAAAGATGATTCACATGACGCTAGAGAGCTAGACCCGAAAGTCTCGAGTCTTAATCCGGGTTCAAGTCAGTAGAATGCCCCTGAGTCCTCCCAGCTCTGATGGGTACCCGTCCCTGAGTCCACCCAGCTCTGATGGGTACCCGTCCCTGAGTCCACCCAGCTCTGATGGGTACCCGTCCCTGAGTCCACCCAGCTCTGATGGGTACCCGTCCCTGAGTCCACCCAGCTCTGATGGGTACCCATCCCTGAGTCCACCCAGCTCTGATGGGTACCTAACTTCCGTTAGGGCCAAAAGACGGCTGGGCATAGTGCTGACCACACTATCCCTTCATATGCCGAGGTCTCTGAAGCAGATAAACTCTACTTCATCTGCCCCATGTGCACGAACGGGAAGACATGATGACGTCAGAAATTACGTCTGGCAATACCGGTCATGTCAGTAGAGACACTGTCAGTTGAGACACTGTCAGTTCAGACACTGTCAGTTGAAACACTGTCAGTTGAGACACTGTCAGTTGAGACAGATGTTGCAGGTAGTGGGGTGGGGGGAGAGGGGGATGGTGTGGGGTGGAGAGGGGGGTGGTGTGGGGTGGAGAGGGGGTGGTGTGGGGTGGAGAGGGGGGTGGTGTGGGGTGGAGTAGATAATTGAGGAAGTGATCTTGAGCCAATCAAATTTATCTGGCTAGGCAATGAATATTCATCAGTGATAGGGGATATCTGGGCGTAGAAAGTAAGGGGGACAACTTGGTCCATGGTGAAGGGGGGACAACTTGGTCCGTGGTGAAGGGGGGACAACTTGGTCCGTGGTGAAGGGGGGACAACTTGGTCCGTGGTGAAGGGGGGACAACTTGGTCCGTGGTGAAGGGGGACAACTTGGTCCATGGTGAAGGGGGGACAACTTGGTCCGTGGTGAAGGGGGGACAACTTGGTCCGTGGTGAAGGGGGGACAACTTGGTCCGTGGTGAAGGGGGACAACTTGGTCCATGGTGAAGGGGGGACAACTTGGTCCGTGGTGAAGGGGGGACAACTTGGTCCATGGTAAAGGGGGACAACTTGGTCCATGGTGAAGGGGGGACAACTTGGTCCGTGGTGAACCAGCTACAGCTGCTAGGAGAGATAAAGGGACACAGCTTTGGTAACCCGTCCAGTCAATACGTGCACTGGGCGTCTTGCTCAAATCGTCACGTGATTTGGTCTTATCCCGGTAACAATGGCGGCGGCTGGTTGTTTCGTGACATTCCTTTATTGTGCCAGGTCATATGGCGAGGTCATATGGCGAGGTCATGGGGCGAGGTCATATGGCGAGGTCATATGGCGAGGTCATGGGGCGAGGTCATGGGGCGAGGTCATATGGCGAGGTCATATGGCGAGGTCATGGGGCGAGGTCATGGGGCGAGGTCATATGGCGAGGTCATGTGGCGAGGTCATGTGGCGAGGTCATGTGGCGAGGTCATGGGGCGAGGTCATGGGGCGAGGTCATGGGGCGAGGTCATGGGGCGAGGTCATATTTCATGTGGTGTTCAAGAGACGGCCAGAGTTGTAAATAAAGCGACCGTGATATTCAGAGTTTATTCCAGGAGTAAAATGGTAGCACCAGTAATTTGATTTGCGCTTGAGGGGGACTCAAATTACACGATATAGGAATAAAATTACACGATATAGGAATTAACTCAAACTATGTTAGGACTATGTCACGTGACCTTGTGGTGATGTAACCAGCACGGGATGTGGGGGGGGGGGGCATACAATACACGACGAAACGAGTTCGTCGAATGTTTTCAAAACTTTGTCCAGCCTGACGTCACTTCCGATCCTGAAAGTTATGGAATTATTTCTAAATTTATTAATTTATTAATTTTTTAATATATAGACGTTACGTCGCTTTTGCTAGCCGCCTTTTGTCAACTCTGTTAAAGGACATTTTTCTATAACATACACATCAGTCTGATATAACATACAGATCAGTGTGATATAACGTATCAGGGTGCCGTTATATGACATCTGGCATGAAAACAATAAAACCAATTCAGTCACCCCTCCCTCCTCCCCCCTCCCACCCGACTACCATCTCCCACCCCACCCCTAGAAACCTGTTTTCGATATTACTAATCAAGACACCAAACATCTCGCTAGAACCAAGTATAGTACCCGTCCGAGGACCGACCGTTGGGAGAGGGGGGGGGGGGGAGAGGCTGGTCGATTAGTTGTTAAACTTGTCTCCATGCCTGACCAATCAATATCAATTAATAGACGCCGGCATACATACATACATACATACACGCCGGCATACATACATACACACATACACGCCGGCATACATACATACATACACACATACACGCCGGCATACATACATACATACATACACTCATACACGCCGGCATACATACATACATGCACACACGCCGGCATACATACATACACACATACACGCCGGCATACATACATACATACACACATACACGCCGGCATAAATACATACACACATACACGCCGGCATACATACATACATACATACACGCCGGCATACATACATACATACACACATGCCGGCATACATTCATACATACATACACACATACACGCCGGCATACATACATACATACATACACGCCGGCATACATACATACATACATACATACATACATACATACATACATACATACATACATACATACATACATACATACATACATACATACATACATACATACATACATACATACATACATACATACATACATACATACATACATACATACATACATACATACATACATACATACATACACGCCGGCATACATACATACATACATACATGCCGGCATACATACATACATACATACATACACGCCGGCATACATACATACATACATACATACACGCCGGCATACATACGTACATACATACACGCCGGAATACATACACGCCGGCATACATACATACACACATACACGCCGGCATACATACATACACACATACACGCCGGCATACATACATACACAAATACACGCCGGCATACATACATACATACACACATACACGCCGGCATACATACATACATACATACACGCCGGCATACATACATACATACACACATACACGCCGGTATACATACATACATACATACATACACACATACACGCCGGCATACATACATACATACACACATGCCGGCATACATTCATACATACATACACACATACACGCCGGCATACATACATACATACATACATACACGCCGGCATACATACATACATACATACATACATACATACATACATACATACATACATACATACATACATACATACATACATACATACATACATACATACATACATACATACATACATACATACATACATACATACATACATACATACATACATACATACATACATACATACATACATACATACATACATACACGCCGGCATACATACATACATACATACATGCCGGCATACATACATACATACATACACGCCGGCATACATACATACATACATACATACACGCCGGCATACATACGTACATACATACACGCCGGCATACATACACGCCGGCATACATACATACACACATACACGCCGGCATACATACATACACACATACACGCCGGCATACATACATACACACATACACGCCGGCATACATACATACATACACACATACACGCCGGCATACATACATACATACATACACGCCGGCATACATACATACATACACACATACACGCCGGTATACATACATACATACATACATACACACATACACGCCGGCATACATACATACATACACACCGGCATACATACATACACACATACACGCCGGCATACATACATACACACATACATGCTGGCATACATTCATACATACATACACACATACACGTCGGCATACATACATACATACATACATACACGCCGGCATACATACATACATACACGCCGGCATACATACATACATACATACACGCCGGCATACATACATACACACATACACGCCGGCATACATACATACACACATACACGCCGGCATACATACATACACACATACACGCCGGCATACATACATAAACACATACACGCCGGCATACATACATAAAATCACACACACACACGCACATAAATACACACTTACTGCAACATTTGGTTGGTCTGTGTGTTTTTGTGGTTGGTGCATATGGTTGGTCTGTGTGGTTGGGCTGTGTGGTTAGGGATGTGGTATGTCTTAAAGCGTTATGAATAGGTTGGGTTGACATATCTTGTTACTTTTACTCTTTACTAAAAAAAATTGATTTGACAAATTTCTCTCCACTTGTTCAATCGTCCAATCTTGACAAATTTCTCTACACTTGTTCAATCGTCCAATCTTGACAAATTTCCCTCCACTTGTTCAATCGTCCAATCTTGACAAATTTCTCTACACTTGTTCAATCGTCCAATCTTGACAAATTTCCCTCCACTTGTTCAATCGTCCAATCTTGACAAATTTCTCTACACTTGTTCAATCGTCCAATCTTGACAAATTTCCCTCCACTTGTTCAATCGTCCAATCTTGACAAATTTCTCTACACTTGTTCAATCGTCCAATCTTGACAAATTTCCCTCCACTTGTTCAATCGTCCAATCTTGACAAATTTCTCTCCACTTGTTCAATCGTCAACTCAAAGACGGGACTGACATTCTGACGTGACATTCAAAGGTCTTCTGCTGTATTGTCATGTCATTCGTGTCTTGTGATATTTCATGTCATGTGCTATCGTGTAATGTCATATCCTCTGCTATCATCTCATGTACATTCCTGTCCTGTAATATCGTCATATCATGTCCTATCATTTACTGTCCTGTAATAACATGTCATGTCATGTCATATCATGTTACGTCATTTGCT